ATGTCTTCTCCAACTGAGGGACTGACCCCCCTCAAAACTTTAAGGGGATGGACATTACATCGTCCTTTAAGGGATCTTCTGCTTCCATCAAAATTTTTTTTTACTTGACTTGAAAAGCCTTTTCTGGTTTTGGGGAAACGTTTCATAATAAAGAACCTAACTGTTGCATATGTGCTTACCTAACAAGGCTGAGATGTTAACTACATTCACCCAAAACCAACAGCGGGGATTTTACTAATTTTTTTTTTACTTTCAGTATTTACTTAAAACACTCTTTTATAACCTTTTCACAACACTGCTGTTTAACCAACTAACAATGTAAAATTTTTTAAAATTTCAGATTTACAAACCCTTAACCCAATTAACTGTTTGGGGTATTTTTTTGTCAACACTGCATCCACAGCCTGATAAGCGACTGTAAACCCCCCCTCACTCACCATTCAAAATTTAAATTTAAATTGTAAAAATTTTTGTTTTTATCACATTTTTCGCCCTCCGAAAGCTATTTCACTCTTTTTAGGTATGTTTTTACTTTTCACTCACGTACGATGAAAACCCCTAATAATATCTTGGGGGAGCCACTAGAACGCCCCAAATCCTGGGAGCACTATTCAGCGATACTGCTTCCCCGTGTTGGGGTGTTTTGGGGTGTGTGGTGTGTTACATTAAAAAACATAATACGTATGAAGGGGTAACCCGCACGAAAAGGGAAAAGGGGCCAGTATTACACGAGAGGGCGCTGGGAAAGGAAACAAAAGAGGAGACAAAGCGACGCAAAAAAAGGGAAATTTTAAAAACACAGACAGGGCCCAAAAAACAACAAAAACAGGGCTAAAAAACTATTTCCCCCCCCTAAAGAATGTTGACCAAAGCCTTTCTAAAAAAAACATTCAGGGCTACAAAAATAATCCACAAATGACAGAATGTTTTAGCCACCCCCTTCTAAAAGAACATTTAAAGGGTACAAAAAAATTCCACACTGAAATAATAAAAAAGGAAAAAGGGGGAAAACGGGGGAATTTTGTCATGGTAAACTTGCCCGAGTGTAAAAAGATAAAGGCTGAATGAATAGACACCACAACTAGCGGGGTCCCACAGGGGTCAGTCGTGGGACCAGTGCTGTTCTTGGTATATGTGAACGACATGACGGAAGGGATAGACTCAGAAGTGTCCCTGTTTGTAGATGATGTGAAGTTAATGAGGAGAATTAAATCAGATGCGGACCAGACAGGTCTACAAAGAGACCTGGACAGGCTGGACGCGTGGTCCAGCAACTGGCTCCTAGAATTTAACCCCGCCAAATGCAGTCACGAAGATCGGAGATGGGCAAAGAAAACCGCAGACAGAGTATAGGCTAGGCGGCCAAAGACTGCAAACCTCACTCAAGGAGAAAGATCTAGGGGTGAGTGTAATACCAAGCACGTCGCCAGAAGCCCACATTAACCAGATAACTACTGCGGCATATGGGCGCCTGACAAACCTGAGAATAACGCTCCAGTATCTCAGTAAGGAATCATTCAAGACTTTATACACTGTGTACGTCAGGCCCATACTGGAGTGCGCAGCACCAGTTGGAAACCCGCACCTGGTCAAACACGTCAAGAAATTAGAGAAAGCGCAAAGGTTTGCAACAAGGCTGGTTCCAGAGCTAAGGGGAATGTCCTACGAAGAGAGGTTAAGGGAAATCGGCCTGACGACACTGGAGGACATGAGGGTCAGGGGAGACATGATAATGACATACAAAATACTGCGTGGAATAGACAAGGTGGACAGAGACAGGATGTTCCAGAGATGGGACACAGAAACAAGGGGTCACAATTGGAAGCTGAAGACTCATACGAGTCAAAGGGATGTTAGGAAGTATTTCTTCAGCCACAGAGTTGTCAGGAAGTGGAATAGTTGGCAAGCGATGTAGTGGAGGCAGGAACCATACACAGTTTTAAGACGAGGTATGATAAAGCTCATGGAACAGGGAGAGGGAGGACCCAGTAGCGGTCAGTGAAGAGGAGGGGCCAGGAGCCGAGTCTCGACTCCTGCAACCACAATTAGGTGAGTATAGGATAACACAACTTGCAACACAGCTAGGGATACCTTTGATGAGTTCCGATAATTTTTCTACTACCAGAACCCGGCCTTGGGCCAGGCTCGTCGGGGCTTGCCTGGTTAACCAGACTGTTGCTGCTGGTGTCCCGCTGACCCACCTATCCATGACAGTCTGGTTCATCTGGAACCTAGTGAAGATACTTGCCCAGTTTCCACTTGAAAACTTCTACACTTGTCCCAGTAGTGTTTCTAATATCTTCTGATAAGATGGTAAATAGTGTGGGACCACGAATGTTGACACAGTGATCCCTTTTTGTGCCCACTGCGCCCCGGCTTTTTACTGGGTTTATTTTGCACTTCCTCCCATATCTTTCACTCCATTAAGTTGTTATGGCAGTGTGCAGATCTGGGACAAAGCTCTCAATACCTTCCATGTATATACCTCTGATATACATTTGAAGAGTTTCCAGAGTTTATCTACTCTCTGAGCCCGGCCATGGGCCAGGCTCGTCTGGTGCTTGCCTGGTCAACGAGGCTGTTGCTGCTGGAGGGCCGCTGCCCCACATATCCATCACAGCCTGGTTGATCTGGCGCCTGGTGAAGATACTTGACCAGTTTCCTCTTGAAGGCTTCTACACCTGTTCCAGCAGTGTTTCTGATATTTTCTGGTAAAATGTTGAATAGTCTGGGACCCCGGATATTGATACCGTGTTCCCTTATTGTCCCCACCGCCCATATATATATTATCATGTATCTCTCCTCCGCTTCGGTGAATATATATTCAAGATTTTAAGGCGTTCCCAGTAATTTAAATGTTTTATTGTCTCTAGGAGAGCCGGCAACGATCTCTGTATCTGTTCCAGTTCTGATATTTCTCCTGCCCTGAACGGGGCCGTCAACACTAAGCAATACTCCAAATGAGAGAGCACAAACGATTTGAAGTGTCACCATTGGCATTATTTACTTTGCTTTGAAAGTTCTCGTTATCAATCTAGTCATCTTTCTGGCTGTTGTAACCTTGGTCTTGTGATGTTCTTTGAAAGGTTAGTTGACACAATTACTCTCAAGGTCTTTCACATGTTCCTTTCGTTCTATCTGACGATCTTCTCGAGTTCTGTATACAGTGTTTTGAGTTTTCTTTCCATACCGTAGCAGCTGGAACTTATCACCAGTGGGAACACAAGCCTACAATACAGCTAAGGAACACAAACCTGCAACACAAGCCTGAAACACAGCTAGGGAACCCAAGCCTGTAACACAGCTAGGAAACACAAACCTGCAACACAACTACAGAATACGAGCCTGCAACACGATTTGGGAACAAGCCTGCAACACAGCTAGAGAACACAAGCCTACAACACCGTAGTCCTGCGCCACAATTATGGAAAACCAAAGTCCCTGCAATAACACAATGAAACAAACTTACACAACAGAACGATAATGAGGTTGTCGGGGACGGGGAGTCACTGAACAAGTTTTGGTGGCATTACAAAGGAGTTAAGATCTCAACTTATTAAAACAGCTGAACCAGTTCTTGGAGCGCCTGCAGGGATACTAGTTAGTGAATTACAAACATGTGTAATATCTGGGTATCTTTCTTTGTGATGCCCAGATGTGGATGTTGGACATGTGTCAGTGTTGTATACATATGATATACTAATACTAGTTTGAAGTCATGAAGTTCGCAGGAACTGGCTGACCGGTCTGGTGTTGAATAAGGTTCAATCCTTCTCTGACGCTTCCATTTGCTAGGAAAAAAAAGTGTGTGGTAATCAGAACCCCAACCGTACGTAATACCATCCGCTGCGTTATCAAACAGCCGACAGAAGTGTCTGCACCGAAGCTGTCATGATGCTTCGACGAAACCAACTTTGCCTTGGGGCCTCCCCCCCCCCCCTCCAAGCAGCAGCCCATGCAGCAAGGGGTTTTATTAAAACTTCGTGAAATCAGTGTTACTGAGCACACTTTTCTAGTCTCCTTCCTTTCGTTTCAAGTGGACACAGCAAGGATTTCCTTGTGTTATTTGAGGGGCACGAAAACACTTCATCTGAGGCCGTTCAGTAGAAGAAAACTTACCCATTTCAGTTGGATCAATCACCGACTTATTAACCAGAGACCACAGCATCCGGCTCCTGGAAGATGGCACTCCGGCAGACAAAAAAAAAAATCCTCAGTAAATAGTGAATCTCCAACTATTAAGGTCACAGGGGTGACACAGGTACTTTCCTTAGCTCTTCCAAATGTTAAATAATTTCAGCCAACTATTGCTGCAGTGAGATCCATTCTAGAAACCTAACCATCACCCTCACTATTAGTGTCGCATTCGGAACACCACAAAGGTACAACGCTACTGTGCTCTAGGTGCAAACTAAATGATCTGAAGATGACAGATCGTATAACAAAGTTTTGGAACAATCCGAATTTTTTTTTTTTTTTTTTACATTGTCGCAAAGTTCCTGACTTAGTCCAAGCAAACTTATTTCATGAGGTATGCACCCTCATACTACCCATACTAAGTTCATACGACAAGCTTTTATGCCGAAATTCATGATAACGTTCTATCCTTGCCTAGATTTGCCCTGATGTAGTTCTTCGTCACGCCAACCTCATCCTCATCAGATATACAATACTGAATATGCGGCAGTGGATACGCCAGACCAATTTGGCCACTATTATCTCATCAGGCGAAGATGTGCTAAACCTGTATGAGTCATACAGTAGCGTACATCAGAGAAATGATGCAATAAATGAAGGGATTAATGATATTAAGAAAATTTTGGTTACATCATCGTGAAATAAGTATATAATGGAACACTGTAGACAGGAATAACTATTGTATCATTATCAGTCTTCCATCCAGGAGAACCAGGAGGAGACCGGGTCATGCTCCACAGAATCATTGCCAAGTAATATACTAGGTATGTAGTAGGTGAGTGTGAAGGCAGTAACATACTCACCAACAATAAGTGTCTGGTCTTGTCCTGGTACAGTCGTTCCACCTCCCCCTCCTGCGCCAGGAGGTCTCGTCGTAACTGTGAGTAACGTAGCTTCTTGTCTGCATATCTGGAAACAACACAGACAGTTCATTAGTCATGTAACTTCAGTAGCGCCAGCAGCGTGTGTTGGGAGAGAGAGCCTCGGTGGCAATCAACTCACCTAGTTGTGAATGTGATAATAGTATGTATACAATACCGATAAGTAAGACACATGTGCAACAGTTAAGTATCTTTACTCCGAAATGTTTCGCATACACAGTAGGCTTCTTCAGTCGAGTACAGAGGAGGCAACAGAAATGTAAAGACGATGTGATCAGTAGATCACCCTTGAAAACTTAGTTTTGAAAGTGGTCAGTCCCTCAGCCTGGAGAAGAGTTCTGTTCCATAGTCTGGAACAATGTGAAGCTGAAGCAACATTATGGAGACTCGTATACTGTACTCGATTGAGGAAGCCTACTGTGTAGGCGAAACGTTTCTGAATAAAGATTCCTAACTGTTGCATGTGTGTCTTACTTATCACCTAGCTGTGTTTGCAGGGGGTGAATTCATAGCTCCTGACCCAGCCTCTTAAATATGATCAATTGATTTTATCGCTTCCTGGTCTCCAAAGTCCAATTACATCTAGTGTTGAAACCCTGCAGTGAATTATTTCCTCTAGCTGGCTCTGTCACAAATTGTTGTAAAAAAGAACAGTCCTGGAGTGTTTCTAGAAAGTCGCTAGATTCTAGGTTTGCTGTCGAACGGTTCCATTCAATCTGGCCGAAGTTGAGATTTCTCATTAGAACGATATTTTCGTACCTAGACGCTTTAGCAATTTCTCCCCGAAGAAGTTTACTTAAGTTACTATCTAGGTTTAAAGGTCTGTAGATTACACCTAAAATTAGTTTTTCACGTCCTTCAAGAAACTGCAGCCATATACGTACTTTCAGTTTCCGTCCCTCCTGCCTTTATTTCATTTCTGATGCTACAGTTTAAATTTTCCCCGACATACATAGCAACTCCAATGGAAATAATACCGATGGTGACACTTTTCAAATCACGTGTGCTCCCTCAATTGGAATAGTGCTCCACGTTGACAACCGCATTCAGGGCAAAAGACATATCAGAGCCGGAACAAATGGAGATCGTTTACGGCCCACAGAGCCAGTAATGTAGACAGCCTGTACTGTCTGCACAGACAGCCTATGCTGTCTGCCAGCTTAGTTCATATTTCGCGCCACTAAAGTGCTGCCCTCTGGGCCTGTCCAGGTCTGTGGGAAGCTGGTCCCACACACACTCACACTGGCGACACCCTTCACTTAGTCAAAAAGGCCTACTCTCTCTCCTTCGTGGGAATGGCCCTCCCAGGCCATGGGCACAACACACAAGCCTGTGTACCCACCACGACTTAACAATAAAGTAAGAAGCCTCCGAAGACGTCTATCATTTAACCACCCGCTTTCAGCTCTACCAAATAATCTCGTTATAAATGGTGGGAAACGGTGGTCACAGCAGTTGTGTTTGCCCGGAGAGAGGAAGGAAGGAATGAAGTTGTTCACTTCATCCCCCTACACAACAAGCATCCGTCTCTCAACGTGTTATCCTGATGTCGTGTCTGCACGTTTGAGCATCCAGACACGGGTACAAGCAGGATCCAGCCGAAATTTGCCGAATTTCTTCGAGAATTGCAAGCGGCGTCCCAGTGACCCCACGCTACAGCGTCCCACCCTGTTTCTCAAGTTACGTGTTCAGCGTCACTGGTATGTTGCTGTTGTTGTTCAGCTCAGCACAGCTGTTTCAGCAAGCCAGAGGTGAGTTTTGTGGTGATTTCTGCGTCCAGTGTGAGCTTCTCCACGTGTTTGTGGGTGGGGGAGGAGGAGGAGGAGGAAGTGGCCGTTCCTCACCTTGCCCATGCTCGCCCTACTCACGCTCACCCATCTACCATACACTCACCACTACCCACTCCCTCTGCTGTGTTTTCTGCTGTTTTTCGTGTGATTCATTGCCAGAGTTGTGTATCAGAGTGCCCGAGGCCACTCGAAGCCATGTGGATCAGCATGCCACGTAGATCACGATGCCACATGGATCCCGACGCCATGTTGGGTTTGGGCGATGTCACGTGGATCTACAAGCCACGTGAATTACCGAGCCAGATGTCCCAGGCCTCATGCTGTGGTCTGCTGCCCGCATCACACTGACGTCACCGATGCTGCTGCCCGACTTCATGACATCACGATGTCTGCCTGATGTCACCTCGAGATGCCTGCTGATGTCACAGTGCTGCTGACGTCACCTCACGACATCACATGATGTCACATCGAGTGTTTCTAGTAATTATTTCAGTATTGTCGAGAAGATTGAGAGAAGATATATGTCGTGTGTTAATTAATTCCTCTCAGTGTTCTCACATGTTAGTGTACCGCATATACCGTGGGTGTGTGCAGTTTCCGTGTGTCCAGTGAGGTCTGAGCCAGACCTGAGTAGCACCACTGTGCTAAGTCACCCGGTGTGACCAGTGCATTTGACAGCTGTTATCAGTCAGCCCCTGAGCGTATGAGCCCTCTTGTACAGAAAGCTCTTATGCTCGTCACTCATAGATGTTTGCCCAGTCGTCCTGCACGACCTCGCTCTCACAACTCACCTCCAGACCTTCGCCGGCAGTGTACAGAACAAGCGGGACAGTACCGTCGAGAAGTCCCTCCTGAGTGCACTTGCCCAGTAAATTTCCCCCTTTAGTCGTGCCAAACTTTAGTTGACGCCTCACAGAAGTGTCACCTTGCATGCTTAGCCCCAGGTTGAGTGAAAACCTCCAGGATGTTTCCACCAGACTGCTTCCCCGAGCTCCACAACCCCATACCCTGCGCGTGCACCCCGCGACAGTACGCAGTCGGGAATGTCCCCCTAGTGTTGCAGTATCTGCCAGTGCCAGGGAAGGCCAGCATGTGATGCCCTTGAGTAAATGCAGCGCCCTACGACCACAGTTAGGAACCATACCCTGTTTATCTTCCCTCACCGCAGGATGTTCTCCTTGTTCAGTTTTCCACAATGTATATATGTTTTTATTGTGTGTTCTGTGCCCTGTTCCTACGAGAGAGAGAGACCGAGTTTTTTTTTACCACCAGTATTGTCGCGTCCGAGGTAGGTGGCCGAGCATATGTAGACAGCCTGTACTGTCTGCACAGACAGCCTGTACTGTCTGCACAGACAGCCTATGCTGTCTGCCAGCTTAGTTCATATTTCACACCACTGAAGTGCTGTCCTCTGGGCCTGTCCAGGTCTGTGGGAAGCTGGTCCCACACACACTCACTCTGGCGACACCCTTCACTCAGTCAAGAAGGCCTACTCTCTCTCCTCATGGGCATGGCCCTCCCGGGCCATGGGCACAACACACAAGCCTGTGTACCCACCAAGACTTAACAATAAAGTAAGAAGCCTCCGAAGACGTCTATCATTTACTCCCCGTTACCAGAACACCAAATAAACTCATTAAACAGTAACACGTTTAAATTACTGGGAACCTTGTAAAATTTTACATAAGTACTCACCGGAGCGGAGGAGAGATACATAATAATATATTCCTGAAAAGTACTCGAGGGCCTGGTTCAAAATTTGCACTGCCAAAGAAACCCTGTGAAAAGCAGGGGCGCGGTGGGTACAATAAGGGAACACTATCAACACCCATGGCACCAGATTATTCAATATCTTACCAGAAGATATCAGAAACACTCCTGGGACAACTGTAGAAATCTTCAAGAGGAAACTGGACAAGTACCTTCACCAGGTGCCTGATCAATCAAGGTGTGATGGATATGCGAGTCAGCGGGCCACCAGCAGCAAAAGCCTGGTTGACCTGGCTAGCACCAGACGAGCCTGGCCCACGGCCGGGCTCCGGGAGTAGAAGGACTCTCGGAACTCATCAAAAGTAAAGGTATATCACAAGTGTTGAAAATTTGAAGCCGACTGAATGAGGCGTTCACGAATTCTAAGTGAAATCAAATCGAAAAGTTGAAGGAAAAAGAAAAGAAGAAAAAATCAGGGAACCTCTTCAAGTTCCTCATTTAGGATACCAAATTATTCATGTATCCACTGTATCACTTAGCCTTAATACCATAATCTGTAAGGATTTAATGTTAAGAATTAATCTAAGTCTGCTCGAAATACCTAGCCATGCTAGGTGTCCTAGTGGCCCCCTCTGTAATTAGTATTTTATAACATGTAAACCACACAATATCCAAAACCTGTAAACCCCACATTGTAACCCTTATAGAGAATAAACTTGAATTGAATTGAATATTCCCTGTTCCCCCTGCCCCTGCTCGTCTAATTGGTATAACGCGCTTCTGTGTACCACTCTTGTATGATTTTTTTTATAGTTGAGGGAGATACAGTGTATCAAGACATTCTCTCTCCCTTTATTTTATCACTCTTAATAAACACTAGGGGAAAGTGGGAGTCATCAAATAAAAATTGTCATCTCTAAACTTATGCTGGTCACTTTATTATGTTTATTTCAAGGTAATCAACTCTTCTCTTTCTTACTATCTTTACTCGTATTTCAACCGTTACTTGTTTTAACTTGAGTATTGTGTTGTTACTCTATTTACTTCAGAATCCAAGAAAGGAAACGTGAGTTTGAGAAAAGGAAAAAGGTCGACATCTGGGAAAAGATGCTGGGAAGAGAGAGAGACACAGAGAGAGAGAGAGAGAAAAGGAGAGAGAGAAAAGAGTGGAGAGAGAGAGGAGAGAGAGAGGAGAGAGAGAGAGAGAGAGAGAGAGAAAAAGAAGGGAAGAAGAAGAAGAGAAAAGAGAGAGAGACAGACAGAAGAAAACAGAGACAAAAGGACAGAGAGAGAGAAAAGAAGGAGAGAGAGAGGGACAGAGAAGAGAAGAGACAGAGACAGAAGAGAGAGATATGGAGGTGGGGTCGCAGTATACACCAGCAACAGGAAAATTTTTATGTTACCACACCCACCACCCAAAACCCCTCCTCCCCCTCCCCTGGGGGCGGCTGCGCCCCTGTTATTTCGCTTAGAGGGTAGCCCCACCCGGAATCAACCAACACAACCCCACCTTCCACACAAAAGTGGGTTGTAGCCACACCCGGAATACAATACACCTTTAATTCCAACGTATTGTACCCCACCTGGTTCAACCAAACAAACCAAGTCCAAACAAGTGAGGTTGAAAACCATGGAATACACCATCACTTCCTAAATTTAGTAGTTGTGCCCACCGGATTAAATCTAACACATCAAAAAAATAGGTGGAGGAAACCCCGGATAAATCATAACTTAATAAAGTAGTTGTAGCCACCCTGGATCAATCACCCCCCATTCCAACACCATAGTTGAGCAACCTGGACCTCACCAAATTCCACTTCAGTGGAGTGACCACATGGAATACAAACCCCACTTTAAAAACATAGGAAATTTAGACACCCTGATCCTCACATCCTTACACAAAACTCCCGTGAAAAAGGAAAAACACAACACTAATTAAACAAGTAATTTAGCCACACCTTAATAAATTATACTTTCCCCCCAGTGGGGTTTAGCAACCTAATCAAATCACACCTAAAATCCAACAAAACATATTGAGACATGATAAAATAATATATTAAAATTTTATAAGTGGAAGATTTTTCCTCTTTAAACAAATTTATTTAAATTTTCAAAATGCTTACCATGCATGCAAAGAGTAAAATGTGAAAAATGAAAAAAATGGGAAAACTAATAGCGGGTTTAAGGTAAAACTTACTACAAGTATGAATTAAAAAGACAAGAATGGTATATCATAAATTAAGGATTTCAAGAGGCCGAAAATAGTGTTTTAAGTGTACTGGATTCCAGCCTACCAGGTCGTGAATTTAGGGTTTACCCCCTAAATTTGTTTAAAAATTTAATACACATTCGGAACTTAAATAGCTTTGAAGGAGGTGAGGAGATTACTAAGTTTAGTTCAGTCTCTATGTTTGGCTTTGAAGCCACTCTGCAACTTTTCCCCAGAAAGTCCAAGTGTTTCGTCTCAACTGCCAAATTTTTGGTTCTACCAATAAATCAAATGTTCAAAAAAATTGTTAAAAACAAATGCAAAGAAATTTTTCTAAAACGTTGATATTTACGTTGGCAATTGTTCTACCTTAAGTTCGGGGTTTCACATGACTATTGTTCTCTTAAAATTCAAAACCGTGGTTTTTTTTAAGAAAAACCTTGGACAAGTTTTAAAGGGGAAATTTGGTTGGGGGGGAAACATGATCCCCCCTCTCAATATAAAAAAAAAAAAACCCCCCAAAATTTTCTTGGGAAGTTTAAGTTCCGCATGTCCTTACCTTAAAATTTTTCCCGATTTTAAAAAATTTCAGGGGGGGGGAAAAAACCCCAAATTTTTTTTTAGGTTTGGGGGGCTTTCTTTTTTTTTGTTTTTCCGTATTGGGGGAAAACCATGTGGGGAAAAGTTTCGGTGGTGCTTTTTGGGGGGTTTCCTAAAACTGTCTTTTGTTTTTTGGCTCTTTCCCTTTTCCCGGGTTTGGCAAAAAACCCTTAAAAGTTTTCGTGGGGGTTGGGGGGGCTGCCCTTTTGCCCATTTTCTTTTTTAAACTTCTCCTTTCCCTGCCCCTCCCCCGCGTTTTAAAGGATTTCCTTTTACCGTGTTTGAAGAACTGGGCCGGGGTCCCCCTTTTTTTGAAAGGGGGGGGAAATTTACCGTTTACCACCACTTTTCCCCCTTTTTTTTATTACTTAAAACCTATGTTAGGAAAAAAGTTTGGGAAAAAAGGGGGCCCCTTTTTAAGGCCCCCCCTTTTTGAAAATTTTAAAAATTTTTAAGGGGGGGAAATTCCCCCCCCAACAAAACCCAAACCCCTTTTTTTTTTTTTTTTTTTAATTTTTCCCCCTTTTTTCCTTGGGGCGAGTTTTGGGCAAGAACCCCAAAAAGGGAAATTAAAAAAAAACCCTTCGTTCTAATGATCCTTTAAATACAGCTTAAGTTTTTTTAAAAAAAAACAGGGCCCCCCCCAAAACCCCCAAAAAAAGCTCCCCTTTGAAACAAAAACCTTAAGTTCCGGACGTGAAGACTGAGGGGGGGGGGGGGGAAAGTGGGGGAAACGCCTTTCACCAACTTGATAATGAAACCAGATCATGAAGGCCTGATATATAAGCATTCATCTTGTGTAATAAAATAGACAAGAAACCCCCCTAGCTTTTGTTTCTTTTTATATAACTATATCTTTAATAAAATAAAATAGCTGCGACTATGTATTCAATTTTGTTAAAAAAGATTTTAGATATTTTCCCGCGTTTTTTCCTTCCATAAAGGGAAAATTTTTACCTTACGGCACTGTTCTGTGAAAACCCCCAGTTCCACAAATATATTTCACCTACCTTTTGTTTCTGTTAGTGGGTCACGCCTTCCATTGTCCATTAGGGATGCTAAACATGCATACGGGTAAATATCAATATGGTATACAATACCGACAGGTTGGTAGGTAAGACACAAGCAACAGTTAGGCAACTTTATTCCGAAACGTTTCGCCTACACAGTAGGCTTCTTCAGTCGAATACAGAAAGTAGGCAGGAACAGTAGAGATGTGAAGACGATGTAATCAGTCCATCACCCTTGAAGTCGTAGATTTGAGGTTGTCCCTCAGCCTGGAGAAGTTCAGTTCCATAGTCTGGAACTATCTGAAGATCAAGTAACAGTGCGGAGACTCAAATACTGTCGGAAGGAGAGGTGCAGAGTAGTAGTAGTGAGAATGCATTCTCACTACTACTACTCTGTCAAGAA